TCTGGCATGTCAAATGTTGAAGCATACTATCTATTCCCCATGGCAGTGCTTTCACTTATGAATGCAAGATAATCTCTCGCTGTATAAAGTTCTGCGTGCTTATAAACTGAATATGCCCCAAGATATCCATCCAAACCCAACCACAACCACTGAACTGAGCTACGAAAGTCCATGAACCATCCACCATATTGATATTATCCAAGCTTAAGACTTTTGGTTCCTCAATACTATATTCTTGTGGAATTGGGGTTAATTTCATTTGCATTAAACTAGGCTTGACACGCACTTTCCGCATATTGAACTAGCTCGACATGATCCATGTATATCCCCCTAAAGAGTATCATTCTGAGCCTTTCAAATATAACCGATTATCTACGGATAAGAATCCATGTCCAATTTTGGTTCAACCGGACAAGGAGAAACATGCAGAAGATGTAGTTAAAGGGTCCTTGTTTGAGGACAGATTGAAGATCTCCCTCTATTGAAATATTGAAGAGAAACCTTACATTTCCTAGATTGAAGATCTTCCTCTATTGAAATACTGAAGAGAAACCTTACATTTCCTAGATCCCACCAAGATGCGATCTATCAGACCTACACATATTGATGAAAGGTTTGTGGAGATGATCAGAGAGAGTATGTTAGTTTGATGCTTAGAAGGCGAGTTGAATCTCCACTTAACGCAAAGCGGGATTCTGCGAGCCACAAGTCAAGAGAAACGCAAAGCCTTCAGTGGTGATCTAGGAATCGCCAAACATGAAAATCGCCTCTATTGTTTCGTCTTGCTTAGTTGATGGGTGAAAAGTGCAAGGAATAACATTTTATAACCCTTTATCAAATAATAGAAAACAAAGCATGTTATATCGAGCAATATAAAAGCAGTATTATGGATGAAAGGTGTGATGAGTTCTTATATATATTATTTTTTATCAATTTTTAGGACCTATTGCAAATTTAACAAATGACACCTACTCTTTTTAGGACCTATTGAAAATTTAACAAATGACACCTACTCTTTTAATATCTCTGACCGGTTCTTACAAGTTGTTGTTTAAGAACTTTTACTCTTTCTCTCTCATGTTTTTATGATTTTATCTTTTCTTTTAATTTTGAAGAATCCTCTAACAAACTATTGTTGGAATTGCTATAATTAATCAAAATAACAACTATATCAATATATATTTATTAGTTATTTATATATTTGTTTTAAGAAACTAAAACCACAAGTTTCCAGCGCATCTCGAAAATAATTTTTTTTTTAAATGTGTTTCCATTGTGTTTCTATGCATTTCCAAAGAATTTTGATTCCAAAACGAGAAAAGGACTATCAACCGCATTTTAGTGCAACCTAGTTCAATATAAAAGTAAGTACATATAACGTTGATTAAAGAAAAGAAAACCAAAGGGAGAACAGCCTTTTGTAGTTTAAAAAATACTCTATGGAGTAATATATACCGAACAATCTCAAATAATCAATCAAGTCAATATTTAAACTAACTATGCTTAATGCATGGTGGAATATACTTAGTTTCCAATTGCAACAATCATTTGAAATACTTTTGATTTGAAGAAAAGGTAAATATGATGATTCAAATAAAAAAAGTGTTAACTATAGAAGCTATCTACACTAATAAGTTATACTATGATTTCTTCTCATTGCACCAAGATGGAACCTCCCAAGGACTACACAATTTAAGGTTGGTGGATAATAAGCTTTGACCTGAATGATAGATCAAAGGAATGGTGGATCGATTGTATTCAAAAATGGATGCGGAAAGTTCCTTTGTGATGAACTCTTGAACAGTGAGTGTATACTCACAAGGTAGTTCAAAGGTTTTTTCCTTCGAGATAACTCACCTAGGAACAAATTTCAATGTTCTAAGAAGAAAAAGGATTAAACAATTTAGAAAGAAGATTTTATTAGAAAGGTTGAATGATTACTATAAAAGATCACATAGCTTATTCATAGGAAACTAAATTTGTAAACAAAGCTAGATATTTAATAATAGCCTAGGAAAATCATGAAAAATTAATAAAACTATGTATAGAAAGGGACTCTTGAAACAAGCATTTCTTACATGCAAAAGAGAGAAACAATTATTGCAAGTAATTATTTGACTCCTCTTGTGAAACAAATAAACCACTTTTTTTTTTTGCTTTTATCGACCTTGTAACTTCATAAAATGTGGTTGGCTTGATATCTAACCCCTTATAACTTATGTTGGCCTAAACTCACCATATACTGAAGCACAAAGCAAACTCGACCATACACGTACCCATATTCTTCTCTCAGTCCAATACTTTATGAATGAGTTCAATATGATTCAAAATAAATATCATAGGCTGTAAAATATCCCGTATTCCCTCTTGCCTAAAACAAGTCATCATACCTTTGTGTTTGCTGCTGGTCAGAGTTACATCACCCCCTCCTCTTTTAAGAAGATTTCTCCTCAAATCTAAACCTTCAAGGATGATATGATCATGGCCAGCTTGACCATCAAATCTATCGATCAAGACGACCAAGGAAGATTGCGATGGAGTTAGGAGTGAAGCTACATGATCATGAGCTCAAATGGGTCAATAATGATAACCTTACTCATCCAACTAATTGAGAGGAAGAATTTATTTACTGAACTGACGTGTACCATTTAAATATATTGATTGAATGATGAGTTTTTTATTTATTTATTGACATGTCATCTTCACAATGCTTCTCAAAGCTGATGTGTCATTAATTTCTCTGAGAGACACTTATGTTATTATTGTGTTGATTTAAATATATTGATTAAATGATGAGGTTTTTTCATTTATTGACATGTCACCTTCACAATACTTTTCAAAGCTGATGTGTCATCTCCCTGAGAAACACGTGTTATTATTGTGTAGATTCTCTTGAATCAAAAATTACAATTTACAAGGACCAGATTGTTGTTCGGGTATTGTCATACTCAACAACCATCAGTTTGATAAACTTGCGCTGTGCCATGTATGAATTATAGGATTTAAAATCTGGTTTATGGACGACAAGCTGCACTCCATACTGATGTATAAAAAATGTTTATCATAGTGTTTTAACAAGGGAAACTCTTACATGTGTGCTACAGAAAGGAACTCAGACGAAGGATGCAATGATCCGCTTATGCCTCTACCGTTCAGATATTTGGATGGCTTGTGAACCTGTGACTCTATTTAATGTTAAACAAGTGAAGCTTGTGGCTTTATAACGGGACAATGAAGTATTTGTTTAACATATGGATTTAAGGTTGATTTGATTAAAGGAACTGACAAGAGTCACACCCTATAGGCTATATTATAAGGAAATATTACTTTGAGAGACTATTTGAGTTATGAATTATTCTAAAAGACACAATCTGAGTTGACACACTTTCTTCTTGTCATTTTACCAAGATAATCTTTAACTAATGAGATTGTCAATTTCTTTAGCCTTTTCAACCAAACAAAACAGATCTATTATTTTATTTTTTATTCGTAAAAACTCAAAAGAGAATCCTAACTTTTTTCTCCCTTCTCTCTTCTCCCTAAATTTTCTGGTTTTAGAAATCGAATTCCAGCACACTTCCTCTTCCTCACGTCGTCGGAGCCATCAGTTTGTTGTTTAAGCTCTCTGTCTCCTCCTCTAACTTTTGCTCGATCTGAGACTGCTCCACCGGATTACCCTCTCCAGCTCTTCATCCTCGATCATTGGTGAGTCACACCATGAATCCAGAAACTTTAATCAATTCTCAATCGTGACTCTTTGTTCCTAATTTCATATATATATCTAACAGATTCATATATAAAAAGTTACTTTCTTATCTGAATTTTTATCTTAGTTTCTAGATCTAATTTTCAAAATGATGTGAGGATGAATAAATTGGTAATGGAGGTAGAGGAGAGAAAGACGTGAGGAGGAGGTGGTGCTTTGTGGATGTTGTGATAGTGGATTATGTGATGGTGGATGTTCGATACGGAGATGGAACACGTGAAGAAGAGGAGGTGGTAATGGATGTTGTGGTTATGGATGTTGTGGAAGTGAATATGGGGAGGTGGTAGTGGATATCATGGTTGTGGATGTTGTGGTAATGGATATGGACACAGAGGTGGAAGACGTGAAGAGGAGGAAGTGGTGGTGGATGTCGTGGTGGTGTATGTGAATACAGAGGTGGAAGACGTGATAATGGATGTTGGATACGAAGGTAGAAAACACGAGGAGGAGATAGTAGTGAATGCCGTGGTTATGAATGTTGTGGTAGTGGATATGGACACAGAGGTGGAAGATGTGAGGAGGAAGTGATGGTCGATGTCGTGGTGGTGGATGATGTGGTAGTAGCTGATGTTGTGGTGGTGGATGATGTGGTAGTAAAGGTAAAAAACTTAGGAGGAGGAAGTGATGGTGGATGTCTTAATCTTTAATTTTTTTATCTATAAGTTGATCCAACAATTCAGATATTTTTCACATTAATTCATACATTCTATTAATTTTTGTTCGTAATCAAATCCAACGATTAAAATTATTTTTTTATTATCCCATATACCTACTTCAAATTAGAAGTTTTTTCATTAATTATAGTTGAAAAGTAATTTAGATATAACTCTCTTGTTTTTCTTAAAATTAACATACTCTTCCTTAGATAAAAGTAAGATAATATCCGGAAGTAAAAAATAGCTAGCAAAAAGAGATAAAAGAATGTGTGTTAAACTAATATTGTGTCTCTCAACAATAGGTAACTAACTCTGCTTTTAGTTAGGTTTCGTTTGGTTTGTCCAAAAACAAAAAAGTTAGGTTCGTTTGGTTCAGATTCCATCTAAACTCAATTCGGTTTAGACACCAACAACCTTATACAAGTTACAAAGAACAAAACTAGATGATTATTATTACCTTGGAACGAAAAGTGAACTCTAAATGTCTGAAAACGATGATAGACGGAAAATTCTCCAGTAGTAAGGCAGCGGTAAGAAGCAATTTTATAGTCTAAAAAGTCTTTAAAATGCAAACGTCAAACTTTTCTTGCTCGAAGAGAAACAAAAACAATACATATACTGTAATACGTATCGCTTGTAGGATCTTTTTTTCTTTGATCAAACAAACCGAGGCTCTTTATTCTATCGATTCACACTGTTATCTCCACACCATCATGAAAATAAAATGAAACCCGCAAAAAAATATCCAAAGTTGGATTTCTATAATTACACTAAACAATTCGACTAGAGGAAGTGAACAATGGAATCTTAAACTACACAAGTCTAAGATAAAAGTGTGCTTTACTTATTCATCTTCTGCTATGAAGTTTGGCTCTTCCCCTCGACATAGGTACTCATCGCACATAGAAGACGTCCCCCAATCTTTTCTTAGCCTCAAGATATCCTCTGTAAAAGTGGATCCTGAGGCTCCAATGAAGACGCTGGACATGGCACAAATCGTTTTATCCAGCATTGCATCTACCTACACATTCACAAAACAAAAAACCCGGTCTGTGACTCATGAAGACGGCAAAGTTTGATACATCACACGCCATGATATATCATTAGGCATTTCTAGTCTGCTATATTTTAGTTCAGTTGATTGAGTAAGTGAGCAACAAAATCTAGACCGCACAGAACCAAGTTTAAAGCGAACAGCAAGCATTTCATGAGATTAGGTTTTTAATCTGATAGACAAAATTGTCATACCTGAGAGTCATCCTCTATATCATGTCGATATAACAATGCGTCCCATTTCTCAGCTGAATTACGAGGTGGACGCTTGACAAGAGGCACAATATTTCCATCGACCACAACAAGTGACTGAAGCAAACTTGTTTCACTTTCTGCAGCATCTGTTGAAAGATAGATTACTGCACCGTTGGATCTTTCCACCATCCTAGCAATACACTCTGCAGCTTGTGGAATTGGATAGAAGCAACTCGGTGCTTTTGCATTGCTGCCAATGAAATATTGTTTTCAATACTCATTCATATGACTGACTACTACAAGTCTAAACCTTAAATGCCGCAAGATGAAAAAATGTGAATACCAGAATTTGAGGAACCCATGTCGCCGGAAATGAAGAGCGATGAAATTGTTTCCCAAGAAGGTCTGTATGAATCGCTGAGCGGTCAACAAAATAAGCTTACTGGGTTCAATTAATGTCTTGCACTTGTGGTTAATAGGTCCACCAGGCTGCATCACCCAATCTTGCTCCATATCAGCATAGAAAACATCCCCAATGGCGATCACATCATCATCAGACTTGAAACTTCTCCGCACCTCATCCACCGTTCTCTTGCTAGGTTTCTTTATATCTTCTTCACTCCAAGGAGACTCCAGCTTCCCCTCGATGGAAACTCCCAAACCTTTCAGCTTCTTAAGATGCTCATCATCCACATAGCAAAGCTGTGGCGATGAGAAGTAACATATGAAACGATCAATTCGAGGATGATTCTTTTTAACCTTAATAAACTGATCGAAAGAAACGATCACGTTTCTTCCCAAGCAAGTATTAATCCGCTCAATGTCAATCACTCTATCGTACTGGTAATCAAACTTGGAGCTGGGGATGACAAGAACTCGATCCAGCAATGCAGCGAAGAACATGTGTTTCTCTAAACAAATCAAGTGGTTGCTCATTTGTCCTGAGAGACATATAGCGAAAAGAAACTTGTCTGGTCTCGGCTTCCACTCTATCGTTTTCCGATCCGACAACTTCTGATCCACCTTCCTGCATCCATCGTATGGACCAAGCACCGAACCGGAGTAGTTACCGGTTCTGTGTGGTGAGAGAAGCGCCTCTTGGATCTCGTTATTCAACGAAATCTGCTTCGAGACAGCGAATTTCAAATCTTGAGAAGAGTTTGTACGGTTCGAGAGAGAGAGAAGCGCGAGGTGTTGCTGCCTGAGGAGATAGAGTGCGCGGAGCTCGGATTCTTTGACACGACTCGAGAGTGGATCTAGTTTGACACTGGGGAACAGTTGACGAAGATCATCAGTGAATAAGAAGAAGATGAGAGCGATTGAGATAGCTAGTGAGACGACGGCGGCAACGATGTAACGCTTGTTGAGAGAGATCTTCCTCCGAGACAGAATCATGTCTTCGATCTGGAAAGCTGAGGAGGAGGATAGAGGATCTTGTCGGTGGCGGTTGCGAGTTTCGTTTTGAGGGATCAAATGCTGCTCGTCTTCTTCCTCGTCGTCTGAGGAGAAGTTCCGCTCCATCGTGAAGAGAACTCGAGATCAAGCAGTGTCCCTCGCTTTCAGGGGAAATCAACTACATTTAGAGTAATGAACTGATAAAGTGGTGAGATTGAGCGTAAAGGAGAAGAAATAATAATTTCGTCGGTTGATGAGACTGTGACTGTGGCCAGTGGGTGGAGGAGAGAGCGATTCATTACCGGGGTTTACTCGGTGTTAATGTTACATGATTGATCAAACCGGTTACATTTAGGGTGTGACTGAATATGCATATTATATGAGTAAAAATATTTACTCCAAATTCAGGTTTTACTTTCTTTTCAACTTCTTTTTTGCCAATTAATTGGAAAAAGTTTTCAGCCACTTTACTCTAAAAATAATGAAACTAGAGAAAATTGTTCCTGTACATTAAAGAAGTGGAAAACTTTACTCCATTTTTTTTTTTACTAAAATTCCTTTCTTTCCCACTTCATTTTTTCTACTATTTAACATGTTTACTAGATTTTGACCCATGAAACTACACGAATGTTTGATTTCATTTATATTTTTATAGATATTTCTTTGACATCATTAGTGGTATATTTTTTTCTAATTTAACCCTATATTTAAAATTTTATGTAAATCTTTCAGATACAATAATTTATACTTTTACATATCGTAACTAATCTCTTGTTTCAAACTGTGACATGTTTTTTTCACCTTTTATTATATATTTGTCTTGTTAGGTTTGCATTTGATTATTAAATAAATGAATATATGCATAAATCAACATATTTAAAAATAATTTTTTGTTTTCTTACCCGCACTTCAAAGTTTTGAATTATGTTTTAGTATTTTTTATGTTTCTTCATTTTAGATAAAATATTCTTGTATATATATATATAAACTAAGATATGTTAATTTGTATACATATATAATATAGTTTAGTTTGTTAATCCGTTGTCCTAATATATTATATTATTTTAACATAAATACTTATGTTTATGAAAATAAAATATATTAATTCATCGATTTAATATAATTTTGTAATATTCAGTTCAGTATATTAAATTTTTAATATGATAGATTATTATGATTAAAAATATATGATATATTTTGCTATTTTTCATTTAATAAATGATAACTGAATTATATATGAAAGTGTACTAATATTTTTATCATCATAGTAAACATATTTACATAAATTTTTAAAATGAGATAATTGGCTAAAGTGTCCTATTTGACACCTATAATTAGAGACTTACCCATGATGTGACAATCAATTTCTTTTGGACCATTTTGTCCTTTTCTACACTCTCTCTCCTCTCTTTGACATCTCCTCCCTTTTTTCTCTCTTCAATCGCTAATTATTTTACAAATCTCTATCATTCTATATATAATTAAATTTTAAATTTCATTATTTTTTCATAAGTGACTTTGAATCCTCAATTTTTTGACATTTTTTCTCTGAAATCCCTAATTATTTTACAAATCTCTATCATTCTATATACAATTAAATTTTAAATTTCATTATTTTTTCATAAGAGGCTTTGAATCCTCAATTTTTTTGATGATATCATTTTTCTCGGTTTAAGATTCGACGTCGTGTTAGCGGTTAACAAATATTGTAGATGTTAACAGAAGTGTTAGTTGTTAACAATTATTTTTACGCTTCGCGTTAATAAATGTGTTCGCTGTCAACAGATATTGTAGACGCTAACAGAAGTGTTAACTGTTAACAATTATTTTTACGTTTCGCGGTAATAAATGTGTTGGCTGTTAACATATATTGTAGACGTTAACAGAAGTGTTATATGTTAACAAATGTTTTTACGCTTCGTATTAATGAAAGGAAAAAGAAAGGGCATACTCGGCATTTCCTTGCCAAATGGTTGTGTCAGTGTCTTTTATATCCAATCAATGGTATTTTGCTAATTTGAACTTCAAATATGGGTAGTTCACTAAATCACTCTTTTAAAATTGAGATCTTTTGAAAATCTCTTTTCAAATATTTACTAGGATTTTTAAAATACAAATATTTATATTTAAAATTAAAATATATAAAAATATTATGATTAAAGTAGTTACACAAATTTTATATTATTAGTCTTAAAGAAATATATTTATAAATTTCTTGTTCAGCTAAAAAATCACACATGAAAATATCATAAATTCCATTAAAGTGTCGATATAAACTTGTAGTTCTTAAAATAAGAATAAACTTGTTTAGTAAATTGGTTTGATATCACAACTCGAATGATATTGGATATAGAGAGCAATTTAAATAATATTTTTGAGATAGGTGCATGTATTTTAGTGTTATATGAATGTATCGTTTAAATAAAATTGTGTGTAAAGTGCAATTTAAATAATATTGGTTTTCTGGAATAATCTACAGTAAAATATATACCAGTTCTGTTAAAATAGATAGTAGGCCTGATTTAGTAATCAACCCGTGTATTCGGTCAATATGTATGTCATGGGATTAGAAACAGAATAATAATGTTTATTGTTTGCTCGCGAGACTAAAGTTCTAATGATCTTTTTATCTTTAATAAAAATCTGAACATAGTTATGACCTATGTATTTATAAGTATATCAATTAAATTTGGAAGGTTGTTACATAATCTTTTGGTATGGAAAGATTGTTATTATTATGACTAGGAAATTATCCCGCGCATAAACGCGCTGGGAGAAATGATATTTAATTTTTTTATTTTAAAGTTATCTTTATATAATTTATATTTGTTGATCAATCATTTCGGATCATTTAATAAACTATATGCAGATAAAAAATAAAAATAAACAAACTTATGGATAATTTCGACTGGTAAGTTTGTTTCCCGCTTTTTCCAGCTCCATAATTATATCCACACATTCTGAATAGTGATGAAATATGATTGTTATTATATATAAAATAACATTACGTTTGTACATTTTCAATATGTTCACACCCTTTTGGTACTAGTATGTTCCCACTCTTTCAGAAATGTTACATTCGCACCTTTTTGGTGATTTTACATTTGCACCTTTCGGTGACATTATATTCACACTCTTTTGGTAACGTTACATTCAAACTCTTTTGAAGACGTTACATTCACACCTTTTTGGTTACGATACATTCACACTTTTTTGGTTACGATACATTCACACCTTTTTGGTTACGATACATTCACACCTTTTCGCTCTTGATTTGTTCGCACCCTTTTGCTCCCGAACCGTTAACACCCTTTTCTGTCCTGGACCATTCGCACACTTTCGGTCCAGAACCGTTCGCACCATTTCGGTCCCAAACCATTAACACCCTTTCGTCCCGACACGTTCTCACCCTTTCGATTCCGACACGTTCGCACCCTTTTGGTCCTGAAAAGTTTGCACCCTTTCGGTCCCGACATGTTCGCATCCTTTCGATCCCGACACGTCGCACCCTTTTGGTCTTGAACAGTTCACACCTTTTCGGCCCCCGAACCGTTCGCACCATTTTGGTCCCGACACGTTTGCACCCTTTCAGTCCCGACACGTTCGCACCCTTTCGGTCCCAACATGTGTGCACCATTTGGGTCTCGGCACGTTTGCACCCTTTCGGTCCGGACACGTTGCACCCTTTCCGTCCCGACACGTTTGCAGCCTTTCGGTCCCAACACGTTCGTACCCTTTCAATCCTAAACTGTTGCACCCTTTCAGTCCCGACATGTTCACACCCTTTCGGTCTCGACACGTTTGCACCCTCTTGGTCTCGACACGTTCGCATCCTTTCGGTCCCAAGATGTTTGCATCCTTTCGGTCCTGACATGTTCATATTCTATTAATTTATTATTGCAAACACCACATTAAATTTTTAAAGATCGTTTAGATCTATATAATGAATCAAACATTATATTCAAGAATATTAGGAATCATACCTATATTAGAAAAATAAAGCACACAAATTTTCTTAAAAATGCATCTGTAAAATGTTCTATTTATAGTAATCTGAAAATGTACATTGATAGATTATCAAAAGGTGTTTTTTTGTTTTAAAATGCATGTTTTCAAGAGTTGTGAGGAAAAGTCTGACTTTTCAAATTAAAGAGATGTGTTGTTTAAAAAAAATAACTGTTCATGGCAAATTTAATTTAAGTATAAAAAATAAATTATTAGGACCTATAGATAAATATAAATCAATTATAACCACGAGATTGTAACTCTTTAAACATGAAAAAGTATGACTCTTTCATGTAAAAAGAATTGTTTTTTGAAAAAAATATGTCAATGCCATAAATATATTATGTTTAAAAAAAATATTTTAAGACCATTACATGAAAAAAAAATTGTTGAAAGGTTGTATCATTTCATAAGAAAAACTGAAATATATTAGTGTAAAAGTTGCTTATTTTCATTTTTAAAACAATTGAGTTTTTTTTTAAAAAAACTCTCTTAAAAGTTGCATAAAAAAATTATTTGGAACATTAGATGGAGAACAAAACAATGGTTGAAAGATTGTATCTTTTCATAAAAAATTGGAATATAATAGTTTAAAAGTTGAATCTTTTCATTACTAAAAAAACTGTGTTTCAAATAGAGTAGTTTAAAATTATTTAAAAGAAGTTATAAGAACTGTGTCTTCTCATAATAAAAATTGTTGAAAGGTTGTATGTTTTCATAAAAAATCTGGAATATATTAGTTTAAATGTTGCATCTTGTCATTACAAAAATAATTGTGTCTTTTCAAAAAAAAAAATTCTTATTTTAAAAGTTGCATTAATTTTTTATTAGGACCATTAGATGAAAAACAAAAAAAAAATGTTGAAAACTTGTATCTTTTAATAAAAACTAAAATATAATTGTTTAAAGGTTGCATCTTTTTATTATAAATAGAATGGTGTCTTTTCATAAAAAAACCTATTGTTTTAAAAGTTGCATCTTTTCATTATAAAAAAAAAAATTTGTGTTTCAGAAAAAAAGTAGTTTAAAAGTATTTAAAGGAGGTTTTAAGAGTTGTGTCTTCTTATAAATAACAATTTTTGAAAGGTTGTATCTTTTCATAAAAAACTGAAATATATTAGTTTAAAAGTGGTATCTATTCATTATAAAAACAATTGTGTATTTAAAAAAAACAAATTATTATTTTAAAAGTTGCATAATAAATAGTTAATAGGACTATTAGATGAAAAAGCAAAACAATTGTTCAAAGGTTGTATCTTTCATAAAAAAAAACTGAAATATATTAGTTTAAAAGTTGCA